CAGAGTCTGGAGGAAAAGAAGAGAGGCACTTCATCCACGTTGCTTGAAGTCCAGTGTAAAGTTTCCACAGTCAGTGATGGTTTGGGGTGCCATGTCATCTGCTGGAGTTGGTCCATTGTGTTTTCTGAGGTCCAGGGTCAACGCAGCCACATACCAGGAAGTTTTAGAGCACTTCATGCTTCCTGCAGCTGACCAACTTTTTGGAGATGCAGATTTCATTTTCCAACAGGACTTGGCACCTGCACACAGTGCCAAAGCTACCAGTACCTGGTTGAAGGACCATGGTATCCCTGTTCTTAATTGGCCAGCAAACTCTCCTGACCTTAACCCCATAGAAAATCTATGGGGTATTGTGAAGAAGAAGATGCAATGCACCAGACCCAACAATTCAGAAGAGCTAAAAGCCACTATTAGAGCAACCTGGGCTATCATAACACCTGAGCAGTGCCACAGACTGATCGACTCCATGCCACGCCGCATTGCTGCAGTAATACAGGCCAAAGGAGGCCCAACTAAATACTGAGTGCTGTACATGCTCATACTTTTCATGTTCATACTTTTCAGTTGGCCAACATTTCTATAAATCCTTTGTTTTTATTGGTCTTCAGTAATATTCTAATTTTCTGATATGATGAATTTGAGATTTTCATTTGTTGTCATTTGTAATCATCCAAATTAAACAAAATAAACATCTGAAATATATGTTTGTATGTAATGTATGAATATAATATACAAGTTTCACTTTTTAAATGGAATTACTGAAATCAATCTACTTTTTCATGATATTCTAATTTTATGACCAGCACCTGTATCCAACTAAAAAATTTTTTTATTTCTAAGTTTAAGTTTGATACAGAATATTGTGTTTTTTGCATGAGAATCGTTGAAAGTTTTAAACATTTATTTTTTTTTTGTGAACCAATCTTTAAATTCTGGAAAGATTTCCAAAGTTGGCTAATATGTAAGAACGTTGTTTTGTCAGCACTATCTGACACAAGTATTTGTTTGGTTTAGAAAGTGAGAATAAGACTCTTGAATATTTAGGAAATTACCTTATACTGATCGGAAAATTTTTCATACACAGATGTAGGTATTTTAAGACAAAGCCCACTTTTTGCCATTGGAAAAATGACTGACTAATTCCAAACCCGCTGTCAAAGTATCATCCTTATTGGAAAACTTGAAGTTGATATAAAATTGCCCTTTGTTATTATTTTATTACTTTACTTTTGTACAGTTTTGTTATAATTTTATTTCAGACACAATTCAGATGTGTAAATGCTGTAATGTTTATGCTGTCTTGTTTCTGTATTATTTCATGGTCTTTATTATTTATATACTAGCTTGATGATGCTCCATTTTACGAATTTACTTGATCTGTTAAGAAGTTGTTTTGAATTGAAATCCATGTACATTTCGCCCTGTCATTGTTTTGTACTTTGTTAAATTTGCATTAAAAATGGAAAAAAACGTGTTATCTCCGCAGGCGACTCTTCTTCTGTTGACGAATGGAATTTGCGGGGGCGCCGCCGGCTGGCTGGGAAGATTATTACACCTGAACTACTGAAGCCTGTCACTACCCGATTCGTTCTGCGCATGCGCAAACAGATTAATTATGGTATTAAATCTACTTATTTATATCCTTAACTCACTAAAGAATAGTAATACACATCTGTAAAAAAATATTTTATGACTTTTATTTGACAATTTTTATGCTTTTCACATTTTCTTCATTTTCTCTGACGTTATCAGACTTAAAAAAAAATCTTTATTTAAACAGAGTAAGTACAAACAAGTAAGGCAATAGCAACAGTACGAATCGTTGGAAGGCATAGTGGAGGCAGATTTAAAAAAAATGGAAGTACAAGGCATCAAAAACACTAACTTGCTCTACAAAGGCTTAACCATTGCTATTCCTGTTAGTTCAGATACAGCTCATAAAGCTTTCTCAAAATGTGTTAAATGGCCTATTCTACCAAAAGTCAAAGAAACACATTTTAAAGTTATAAACAAAATGTATCCTGTGGCAGAACTTTTAAGAAAAAGATTTGGTTTTAGTGTGGATATGTGTTCCGTTTGTAATAAGAATAATAGTGAAACTCTTGATCATATGTTTTAGCTGTGTCATCCTGCTTCTGGAAAGAGATGAAAAACTGGATTTCTTTGAAAATGAATGATGTCCCCCCATTTGCACTGAATGATGTCATTTTTTATATGGACCATCTTCCCCAGCCTGTTTCTGATACTATTAATGTCTTCCTGCTATTAGGTAAATATCATATCCACTGTGCTAAATGGAGACATTCTAAACCTTAATTTCATTGGTTTATTAATGTCTTTAAAACCCTTTCTTTGTTCTCTTAAAAAAAATTTAAAAGACAAAGTCTTGAATTCTCCCAACATTTGCTATTCTAATTGCATCTACTTTTTGTGTTTTTCCATATGTCTATGGCTCTTTCTATGTTTGATTTAAATGTTTGCTGATATCAATGCCCTGCTATTTGTTTTACTTTGTATTTTTCAATTGTAATTAATCTTCATCTGTTCATATACACTTTTACCATCCTATCTGAAAGTATTTTTTTTTACATAAATGTAAATGGCTTAATAAAAAATAAATAAACTAAAACAATTTTTTTTAACCATTGCATTCTCTGCAGCTTACATCTAATGTAGACATGCTTGAGTATAAATTATTTTTTATTTATTATTTTTGAAAATCAAAACAAAACCCCGCAGTATTATTCTTAAAGTGTCGATCAACGTTCAGAGTAGGACTGGAAATCAGAGCAGATCGTATCTATTTGGGTTTTAGTTCAAATGCTTTCATTGAATTATTAAATGTGGGTTTATATTATTTTTATTTCCCTTTTTCGTTCCCATAATGTCAGAAAATCTAACGAAACAGAAATAGAACTGCACGGCGTATCTTTGGCGCCATCTAGTGGTTAAACTCAGTTGCGCATTCAGGCTTTGGTTTTGCAAATGTGCATTCAAGGAACTGACACAAATCTTGTGTGTTGTGGTTTTAGCCTTTTTAAATCATCTTACTTATTTTGGTAATAAAAAAAATGAAATATTTCACATGTTTTGATCTGTAAATTAGTTCTCACACGATGCTAATCAGCTTTTAGGTTAAATCCTGACTCTGTGACCCATTCCTGTCCTGCAGATAGCTCCTCATATGTTCTTTGCTTCTTTTCTTCCACCTGCTTTCTAAAAAAAAACTGACCAGGTTCCTATTTTTAATTTTTTTTGAGTACATATTCAAAAGAATGTTGTTTTTTTACTCAATTATGTCATTTTTTATATGGACCATCTTCCCCAGCCTGTTTCTGATATTATTAATATCCTACTGCTGTTGGGTAAATATCATATCCACTGTGCTAAATGGAGACATTCGAAACCTTCCTTTCATTGGTTTATTTATGACTTTAAAAAATTTTTTTGCTCTCTTAAAAAGATTTTAAAAAATGACAAATATGCAAAAAAATTGAGACTTGATTTCTCCAAATATATGCTATTCTAGGTGCATTAACCTTTTTGTTTTTATTATTTCTCTGGCTCTGTCTATGTTTGATTCTTCTTTCTATTCTTCTTTTATTGTAATTGATCTTTATCTGTTGATGTTCACCCTTGCTATCTTCTCCGAGAGTATATTTTTCATGTAAATGTTTTTAGATTTAATAATAATAAGAATAATAATAAATAAAAATTAAAGTATTCAGGCGTAATCCAAAAGTAAAAGAAGTAAAATATAAAATTATAAATAGTTATTATCCAACAGCAGAAACTCCTAAGAAAAGATTTGGATTTGAAGAAGAATTTTTTTAAACTTTTAAAAACACTTTATTTACAAAATTCAAACATAAAAAATTGAAAAACAGTGATTGACTGAAAAGATTGGGCAACAAAATTATTCAGGAAACCATCGTCTTAGTCCAGGCATGTTTTTAATCTTTCTGTTGAAACATGGTTGGAAATTTATATCTGATTTTAATTTATTTATTTTTCATAGAATTCTTTATTATTTTTGTGAGACTGAAGTTATTTTTCTTTGACCATTTTATTATTATTATTTTTCCTTCATCAAACGTAGGGGGGACAACTATTTTTTTCCAACTACTTTATAATTAATTTATGGTAATATTTATCCTAAATTTATTTTAAGATATATTTATGTGTTTGTTCATTTATTCGTTCATGAATTTATTAATTTCAATATCTTCCCTATTTTATCTTTTATTCTGTAAATCTAATATGATTTAATATTTTTTTATTGGCTAATTTACAACACAAGTTATCTCAAGGCACTGTACAGATAAAAATTTAGGATAGTTTTACTTCTTAATCCCTTCTTTTTTTCAGGACTTTTTTATATCATCTTATGCCGTTATATTGAAATGCGGGGGCAGTTTTCTCATTAGGGCCGGTGCAGCTTATAGCTTTAACCACCATATAGATCATGTTTATCCAATCAAAACATTTAGTTTTCTGCAATATAGAAATACTGTTAGACATTTTGCACAAAGCTGATTTTTCCAGTTGAGTTTATCATCAATAATAAATCCAGAGAAATCAAACCTGATATCTCCAATTAAATAGTTTTAAGATATAGGCTGCTCCGTGGCGCAGTGGATTGCACTGCTGCCTTGCAGCAGGAAGGTTCTGGGTTCTATTCCCAGGTACTCCAGCTTCCTCCCACAGTCCAAAAACATGACTGTTAGGTTAATTGGCTAAATTAAACTAAATCTCTAAATTCTCCTTAGGTATGAATGATTGTTTTTCTCTGTGTTGCCCTGTGATGGAGTGGGGTCCTGTTCAGGGTGTACCCTGCCTCTCGCCCATAGACAGCTGGAGATAGGCACCAGCACCCCTGGCAACTCCCACTTGGGATTAAACGTGTTAGAAGATGGATAGTTTTAGGATTATAATATGATGGTCATGTACAGGAAGGTTGAGATCCTCAACAGTAACCTGGTTTTGAACTGTTAACCCAGCTTTATCTTAATAACTTGTAAACAAAATCTTCTTGGTGTTAAAAGAAGCACAAAATGCAACCAGCTTTATAAAAGAAGAAAGTGGGATTTCCTCAAACACAATAAAGTCGACTTATAGTTCCAGAAAATAATGAAGGATGTGGTAGTCAGGGTGCTAGACTGAGCTACAAAGATGCACACAACAGTCAGAGAGCAATTTAAATATATATATTGAAATAATATGAATATGTTTCATTATTTGTACAAAGGCCCAGTGGATCCCTGAGAGACGGGCCTCAGTGACAGGAGCCAGGGATGGGCACGGAGATCCTCCAGGGTGGCTCGTATCCTACTGTCCTCCTCCAAACACAGGGCCAGAAAAGTCAGGCACTCTGGAAAGAGAAGCCAAGGGTTAAAGGTCAGAAGCACAGGCGGGCGGTAACTAGCAAGGCACTTGCTGGTTATGTTCCTATACCTTTCGAAAGGTCTTTGTTGAACTTAATGAGGCCCCGTGTAAAACGTCTGGTGTCAAAGTGACACCTGTGCAGCATTCGATACAGGATGATTCCCAGCTGCCAAACCGTGGTCGGAGAAGGTCTGTATTTCCTACTGCTGAACCACTCCGGGGGGGCGAATGCAGGAGTACCTGGAATACAGGCATAGTCAGAGCAGACTGTTATGCTTTGTTCGTCCATTTGCTTTCTAAAGGAAATGACTCAAAGAGGATCTCAGTTAAATGTTTAACAAAGTAGAAACGCACCACTAAAACTTCTGTAGACTTTGGTGGTCTGGAAGGTTCCACAGCCGAAGTCAATAATCCTGATTCGAGGCTCCTGGGATCCCATTTCCACCAGTGTGTTTTCACACTTCAGGTCTCGGTGGAAAATCTCCTTGTTGTGGAGGTCTATGGCAGCGTCCACCATCTGTTTCATAAGAATCTGGAATAAAACAATGAAAAATGTGTCTTTATCATTAAAGATCTCATCTTCAGTTGTTGAGATTAAATAAAACTTTAACAAATTTATTCTCCCCTTAAAGATTTCTTTGGTTTTTACATTTTTTTACACATTAATGATTCAGATCATTAAGCAAAATGTATTATTAGAAAAAGATAAACTGATTTATAAACAAAATGCATTTTCCATTGATCAGAGACAGAGAGAGAAGGTATCCAAACCCAGATGGATTATTTTCCCCTGAACCTAAAGACTGGTTGAGTCCTTTTTATTATGTTACACATTTATTTAAGAAATGATGGTTTATCAAAGATAAAAGTTGTTGCTGCAGCTGTTAAATGGAAAAAGCAGAAAAGCTCTTAGTCTGCCAGCGAATGCAGACGTAGCAAAAACATCAAACCTCCAGCCTCCCTACCCTGGCCACGTCTTCCTCCAGGCGACCTCCTCTGTAGGACAAGTAATCCACAAGATCCATGGATGCTGGTGGCCTTTCCATCACAATGACCAGGTCCTGATCCACATAGAACCACTCCAGGAGGGTGACGGCAGCAAACTCCCCCGCTGAATCTGGCCCACCTCCGGCCTTCTGCATGAGGGCCACCTCCAGGGGAACACCGTCCACCTTAAAAAAAACCACAATGACCTGATTGTGTAACTAACAGCAAAGGACAAATACTGTCTACTAAGATGACTGGGAGGCCGGCTGCTTCTAAACCAGTTCACTCACTTCACTCAGTCTGATTTGAGCTCTCCTCATGTCGACGTACTTGATGGCCACCTGTTGGACACAAGCACAAATGTTATCCTTTCTGCAGACATCGGCAGTGATGCTTTCAGGATGCCTGCTTAGATTTGAGTCAAAGACAGACAGAAGGCCAAGAACACAATATAATACCAACCGGTAATGAATCCTCCAGGCGAAGGCCAGCGTAGACGGATCCGAAGCCTCCTCTGCCAATCAGTCCAAGACGTTTGTATTTTCTTTCAAACTCAGCTAAGAGTGAACAGAGAAATCACCTGATTATAATAAAGCTGTGAATACTGTCAGATTATTGATGTTAATGATGAACAACAGCAATCAGAGATGCAGATTTCCTTTTATATTTTCAGGATGGCTAAAATTATTCTTATGATTTCTTCAAATTTTAATAAGCTAAACCTTCTTAAAAAAATAAGACTAATATCTAGGCTGACGACCTGATTGAATTATAAATACTTTCATAAATATTGAAAACTTTTCAAGTTCTTAAACTGAGTTGAATTTAACTTAAAAAACTTAAATAAATGTTTCATTAATACCGAATAAAGGAAAACTTCCCTCTTCTGTAACTTTTCATCTTCATTTACTCTCTAATCACAAACCAATGAGTTTTATGGGAACTGATGTCAGAGTTTCACATCAGGATATTTGAATTAACTGTGAGGTAAATAAAAATTGATGCATGGTTTTCAGAATTTGATATAAATCTACGCCCTCTGACCAGTTTCCCTGTGCCTGCTAAAGAGGAACAGTCCCACAGCATGACACTGCCACCATCCTGCTTTACACTGCCAATGGTTGATTAAGGGGGTTATTACTGTTAGCTCTAGCTTTGCTATTAAAAGCTGTCTGGCTTTGAATTAAACCTTTAAACATAGAAGTTATAACATTTCCTCTCTTAACACTAAAACTGAGAAGGAGTAAAATAGCTTGTCTTTAGCCTAAGCAGAAAAAGGAAGGATGTTTGTGTTCCCACTTCAGGAGTTGCTGAGGTGCATTTATTTCAGTGTTGGGCTCACATTTGTCAGAAACTGAGCTGCTGGTGCCTTGCTCTGCCTCAGAGACTCTCTGCCTCTTCTTAGAGGACTCTTCAGGGACATCTGCCTTTCTCTTCCTGTCCCTAATGGGTTCCAGCTCTTCCTCTGGCTCCCTGAGGCTGATACTGGTGCTGCTTATCACTATTATACTGGCTGGTGCCCGTCCAGTAGAATTGCTCTTTCCCTTTTCACAATCAGAATCAGAAATACTTTAATAATCCCAGAGGGAAATAATATATACACATATGTATTTTAGTACTTTTGGTATTTATGTTGGTACCTTTTGGTACTCTCTCACAAACTCTACGGACACAGAGGGATCTTGTCCAGTGGTGAGGCGGCTGAAGTTGTTGCAGCTCTGTTTGCATAACTTTTTGTTGTCCACCTCTGTGACAGCTTCCGCCTTTCTTTTCCTGCAGCTTGGTTCATCCAGACGGCTGCTGGGTCCAACAGAGACGCTCTGGTTATCTGAAAGAGTTCATTGGACAAATGTTTACACTCTATAGCAGATCTATTTAGGAAGCAATGGAAGAGGATGCAGACTGAGAGAAATCTAAAACCCCTCTTTTTAGTTATAAAACATGAGCCACCAAATACTTTGACAAGAAAAAATGACACTTTCCCATGAATCCACTGATCCTGCATCACTAAAGATTTAATAGAATAAAAGCTTGGTACCAAGGAATTAGGTTTTGCAATTTTTGGAGGAAAAATAATCAAAATTGGAAATGGGATCGAGCATGCAGGACGGCCCAACTTAAACCTTTTTACCAGTATGATCAACAATTAGGAGGACCACTTACTTTATGATCCACCCAGAAAATAAAATCCTCCACTATAGCTTTAATATAAGATAACTCTGCTGCAACGTTTGGTTCCCTAAAATTTAAGTCTGAATTTGCATTCCTGTTTCTTTTTCATATACCTTGAACATCACCTTGTTTTCCGTAGACAAGAGCAGGCCTCTCCATGTTGCTGAACGAGTTTAAAGGCCTCAGATTTAAAAAACTCAAATCACGGTGAGATTTTCTGGGGATTTATACCAACAATGTCAATCTAGAAATGATTTGTACTCAGGTACAATTAAGTTCTTGCAGTAAAACCACAGAATATGTGTGTTTAAAAAAAAAACATCGTCATGGTGCCCAGCTGTCCATCCTAAAAATGTTGACATTTGAGAATTTGGCAATTATCCCAGCTGTGAAAAAAATAAATCATAAAAAATTCGGAGAAAACAGCAAAGTTACTCTCAAAACTTTTTCTAAATTAGTTTTTCAAAGTTTTATTTTCGGTCTGCATTTCTTTTTTATTTTTTACCATTCCCATTTATGAAAGAGTTCATTGAACAAATGTTTACACTCTATAGCAGATCTATTTAGGAAGCAATGGAAGAGGATGCAGACTGAGAGAAATCTAAAAACCCTCTTTTTAGTTATAAAACATGAGCCACCAAATACTTTGACAAGAAAAAATGACACTTTCCCATGAATCCACTGATCCTGCATCACCAAAGATTTGATAGAATAAAAGCTTGGCACCAAGGAATTAGATTTTGCAATTTTTGGAGGAAAAATGCATAAGTATCATATTTTTTTTACACACAAGGTAACTGCAAACCTTTTACTGTCAAACCATGTCATGCTTTTCCAGTAAATGTAGCATAACATTTTATTTATGTTAGACTGAAAATAATTGGAAATGGGGTCGAGCACGCAGGACGGCCCAACGTAAACATTTCACCAGAATGATAAACAATTAGGAGGACCACTAACTTTGATGATACACCTTGAATAAGAAAATCCTCCACTAGACCTTTAATATAAGATAACATTTCTGCAACATTTGGTTCAATAAAATTTAACTCTGAATTTGCATTTGTTTCTTTTTTATATATTTGAACATTACCTTGTTTTCCAGGGACAACAGCAGGGGTCTCCATGTTGCTGATTGAGTTTAAAGTCCTCAGTTGTCAAAAAAACTCAAATCACGGTGAGATTTTCTGAAGATTTATACCATCGATATCGATCTAGATGCGATCTGCACTCAGGTACAATGAAGTTCTGGCATTCAAACCACAAAATATTTGTGTTTAAACAAACCATCGTCATGGTGCCCAGCTGTCCATCCTAAAAATGTTTACATTTGAGAATTTGGCAATTATCTCAGCTGTGATTCCAGGTAGCTTCCAAATTCTCAAAGCTGTAGTATTAATGCATTAAGTAGCATAAATGTAGTAAGAATGTAATTGATTGAATTATAGCTGAAAATGAGAAATTTTAAAATGTTAAATCTGTTTCAAAAACATTTCACAAAAAATGGGTGAAAATAAAAATTTTGAAAAAATAAATCATAAGAAAATCGGAGAAAACAGCAAAGTTAATCTCAAAACTTTTTCTAAATAAATTTTTCAAAGTTTTATTCTTGGTTTGCTTTTCTTTTTGATATTAGTTTAGCATTTCCATTTAAACATAGTGTTGGATCATTAGTAAACCTCCCTTTTCGAAAACCACTTTGATATTTTGACATATATCCTTTCTTATTAAAATAATATACTAATCTATTATTAATCATTCTTTCCATTATTTTACATAGATTTGATGTTAAAGCTATTGGTCTGTAATTCTGTGGATTTAAATGATATTTTCCTGGTTTAACTATTTGTACTATAATTGATTCTGTCCAGTTCGTCTGTAATTTTCTCTCCTCCCAAATTTTATTATATAGTTGCAATATTATATCTTTATATTTTTCACTAAGTTGACTTATCATTCTATACCAAATCTGATCTTTACCTGGTGCTGTATTTCTTGTCTTCCTCAGTGCGTCATTCAGTTCCACTTTTGTAAACTCAACATTCAATAAATTATTTGTTTCTTCAACACACTCTAGTAAATCTTTATGTTTACGTTTCGTATTTTCTCTTCCTTTTCTATCCTCTTCGCTAATATTATTTGAACTGTGAATTTTACTAAATGTTCTTGCCAATATTTCAGCTTTATCTACATATTTTATTATTTTTTATTGTCTATCTTTAAAATAGGATATTCAAACTCTCTCTTTATTTCATTAATTCTTTTAATTACTTTCCAAATGTTTTCTATTTTTGTGTCTTTTTCTATTGTGCTACAAAATTTCTCCAATATTCTCTTTTTGCATTCTTAATAGTTCTCCTTACCATTGCTTGCTTTCTTTTATAATCAGTTAAATTATTATAAATTGGATTATCTTTTAGTACCTTAAATGCTTTATTTCTTACTTTTATTGCTTCTTTACATTCATTTGTCCGCCATGGCACCATTTTCTTATCATTTTTACACCTTGTTTTCTTTATAGAATGGTCGGCTGCTTCCATAATTATCTCACAAATTTTTATATTTACATCATTTATATCTATTCTCATATCTACTTTTTCCAAGTTTATTTGACTCGTCTGCTTTATTAAAATTTTGTTTTTTATAGATCTTTATATTCTTATATTTAAATATAAACCTACTCTTATTGTTATAGGATAATGATCACTACCGATTGTTGTATTCTTATCAATGAACCATTCACATATACCAGCTATCACATTTGAGACAATAGTTAAATCTAAAACTGATTCCATCCCTGTTCTCACATTGATTCTTGTTCCCTTCCCATCGTTAATACACACAAGATCTTTCATTTCCATTCATTCTTCTTTAACTTGTCCATTTTTATCATTACATTTACCCCACAATGTACTATTTGCATTAAAATCCCCACACCAAATTACTTTCCCTTCCAAATATTCAGTTAACTCTTCCATTTTTTCAATTGATAATGTTTTGCATGGATTATAAAAATTTATTATTTTAAATTTACATTTATACACAAATGATTTCTGGTTGTTCTTCAAGACTGTCAATATAACCTTTAAGTTCCTTTTCCGTTAGCTATTAAACTTCTTGCATTCCATTGTAATATTAACATATATCACCTGATGGTCCTGGTCTCCCATCTACCTCCAACTTTTTGTTTATGTTCTCCCATGATCCCTCTTTAAACCCCAAAATCTTTTCAGCTCCTCTCACTATTATTTTAATCTTCTCAGTTTTATGCTTGGCTTGGTCAGTGCAGTTGATAACATATGCTACAAATAATATCGGTTTTTCTACTGGTATGGTGATATTTTCCTCTGACTGTACTTTGGCTTGCAGTGGAATTGGACTCTGCATTTGCCTGGCGTCCACATTGGCGTCCACCCTTCAAAGACGGACATTGAGTAGAAATAGTCTGAACTTAAATTAAAGAAGAACCTCAGAGAGCTGGTTATCTTAACTCTTTTTGTGGTAATGGATCTATCTACCAGCCCTCTTTTTTTTTTTTTTTTTTTTTTGCGGACACTGATTTCCTTCTGTTGTTGATCCTCAGATAACATATCGGAGTAATTTAATGGCCAAACCTAAACTATGGCCAATAGATCTGTGTTGCTTTGATAAAAATAAGAAGGAAACAATAAATATAACATTCTGATACCAGAAGATGGACAACCATCATTTATTTATATTCACCCAGACCTTGAAAATGCATTGTTGTTTCCATACCCCTCCAGACTGTTGACATCCTTCAGATATCAATCCCATGCTGGGAAATATTGAATGTTTATCCCTCTCAGAACCTGAATGATGTCTTTGTATGATAAGCCTCACTGTTTTTCATTTAATCCCTGTGAAACCCTAAACTCCCTGATAAAATGGATCTGGACCTTACTGGATCAGATTGGACCATCCTTTCAGGAAAAAGTTTCCATTATTTGTCTCAAAAAGGAATCTTATAGGCCGTCAATGATGATATGGACTCCGGATCCTTAGGGGGAGATTCTTGGAGGAGCAAATAACACAGCAAATGAAGGTCATCTAAATGCCAATTTGGATTTGTTTTCTGACAACTCATTTAAAACAAGGGGCCGGTCCGGTCTCCTGGTTAGCAGTCGCTTTGTACTTTTGGATAAACTTCCAAACCAAGTGACAGAGAATGAACCTGAGGTACAAATAGTTGGTGGTTCCACATGCGGCGGTCTGAAAGTGTCAAAGAGGCTGGGATTAGACCATGTCTAATAAACAAGAAAAACATTATTTCAGGTAACTTTTTATAAGTTTAGGTAATTAACTGCAGCAGACCACTTGTGTTATGATTGTTAGTATTTACCTGCAACTGAAATTTCACCATGTATCAAATACATGAGGGCTTGTGGAGAATTTATGGTGTCTGAGCTTTGTCACACTGCCCTCTGCTGGTGAAACAATGTACCTGCAATGTGTCAAATGTCCTGTTTAATATGGCAGCCTGGTAAAGCAAATGATTCTTTGCCCCAAACACACATGCATGGGGACATAAACTGGAGTGGTGGCTTAGTGGTTAGGGCATAGAGCTTAAAATCCTGAGGTTTTGAGTTCAAGCCCCACTACCACTCTGGCTCTCTGAGCAAGACCCTTAACCCCCCACTACTCCCTGGGTGCCACAAGATGGCAGCTCACTGCTTCCCAAGGGGAAGGGTTAAATGAAGATAGTTCATTCTGTTGCTCAGTACTTGTGACAGGGTAATGAAAATAAAAGCTGGAGGGGGGGGGGGAACACATGGCCCAGAACCATACAGTACTTCACTTGGTTAAAATAAGTGGGAGTGAGTCGAAGCCTAGTTACATTCAGTTGAGCTGATTTAACTAGGGTGACCAGATGTCCTCTTTTTCTCAGACATGTCGTACTTTTTATACCTAAAATATGTCCAGGGGGAATTTCAAAATTGTCCGGGATTTTGGTCCACTACAGTGCACCACGTGTGAGTCCTGGTCACAATCTTTACTCACTGTAGCAGCAACGTCCAACTCTTCCTCTTTGCTTCTTTGAAAGAACGTGTTTATTTTGGGTAGTTTTTTTTCTATTATTCCAGCAGTTCTTCTTTCCTTTTTCTTTTCTGGAATCCGCTTAAGTACGTCTTTTTGGTATCCATCGTCGCTAACACATTGTACTTAATATAGGCTCTGGATTACCCATAATTCCAAGTCATAGTGTAAAAATTAAAATACTCAGATGCATCGTTCTTTTAAGATCTTTATTGCAGTTTAAAACATGAGTGTATTTTTTTTACCAACCATCTAATGAACTATACACACTTATTAACATAGTAATTAAAAGTACCACTGTCTGCTCTTCTATTGATGTCGTCTGCAAAGAGATGTCCTGGTCGGCAATTGCGTAGGGGATGTCAGAGATTGTGGGCCCATAAGCAACTGCTGTCAATGCTTGCAAATTTTTATGCCATAGCACACTGTGCAACAAGACGCTCCGAGGTGATCCACCTGCTCACACTGCACCTCTAAAAACCACCCATTGGACTCGTCAATCTGGATGAAGAACTCCCTTGTTTGCACGTGCGTAGTACATGCTCGTAGCTCTGCTTCAACCTCAGGATTGGTTCATGAACATCTCACGATGGCCAACTGATTTTCTCCTGACCTCATGATTCCTGATCGGAAGGTGGTCGTGAGGCAGATAGCCCCTCGTTACCCCCTGTATAAAGCACAATGCAGGACACAACATGAGGCTGAAAATCGGCCCGATTGAAAAATATTCTCGCACGACTGGAGAATCCCCCCCCCCCCCCCCCCCAAAAAAAAATATCGTAGTGCATGCACGGCTTAAGTCAGTATCTCAGACCGCTATGGAAGCCCATTAGGACCATTATTCCCTTTCAGAGCTAGAGGACTAAATGTGTGAATGGTAGTAATTGTACAATCTGTAGTAATGCTTTGGTACAAGTTGAACAGACTCAAACAGACCAGACTTCTGCACGACAAATATACAGGTGCTGGTCATAAAATTAGAATATCATGAAAAAGTAGATTGATTTCAGTAATTCCATTTAAAAAGTGAAACTTGTATATTATATTCATACATTACATACAAACTCATATATTTCAGATGTTTATTTTGTTTAATTTTGATGATTACAAATGACAACAAATGAAAATCTCAAATTCATCATATCAGAAAATTAGAATATTGTGAAAAGGTTCAAAATTGATGGCCCCTGGTGCCACACTCTAATCAGCTAATTAACTCAAACCACCTGCAAAAGCCTTTAAATGGTCTTTCAGTCTAGTTCTATAGGCTACACAATCATGGGGAAGACTGCTGACTTGACAGTTGTCCAAAAGACGACCATCGACACCTTGCACAAGGAGGGCAAGACACAAAAGGTCATCGCTAAAGAGGCTGGCTGTTCACAGAGCTCAGTGTCCAAGCACATTAATAGAGAGGCGAAGGGAAGGAAAAGATGTGGTCGAAAAAAGTGTACAAGCAAGAGAGATAACCGCACCCTGGAGAGGATTGTGAAACAAAACCCATTCAAAAATGTGGGGGAGATTCACAAAGAGTGGACTGCAGCTGGAGTGAGTGCTTCAAGAACCACCACACACAGACGTATGAAAGACATGGGTTTCTGCTGTCGCATTCCTTGTGTCAAGCCACTCTTGAACCACAGACAGCGTCAGAAGCGTCTTGCCTGGGCTAAAGAGAAACAGGACTGGACTGCTGGTGAGTGGTCCAAAGTCATGTTCTCTGATGAAAGTAAATTTTGCATTTCCTTTGGAAATCAAGGTCCCAGAGTCTGGAGGAAAAGAAGAGAGGCACTTCATCCACGTTGCTTGAAGTCCAGTGTAAAGTTTCCACAGTCAGTGATGGTTTGGGGTGCCATGTCATCTGCTGGAGTTGGTCCATTGTGTTTTCTGAGGTCCAGGGTCAACGCAGCCACATACCAGGAAGTTTTAGAGCACTTCATGCTTCCTGCAGCTGACCAACTTTTTGGAGATGCAGATTTCATTTTCCAACAGGACTTGGCACCTGCACACAGTGCCAAAGCTACCAGTACCTGGTTGAAGGACCATGGTATCCCTGTTCTTAATTGGCCAGCAAACTCTCCTGACCTTAACCCCATAGAAAATCTATGGGGTATTGTGAAGAAGAAGATGCAATACACCAGACCCAACAATTCAGAAGAGCTAAAAGCCACTATTAGAGCAACCTGGGCTATCATAACACCTGAGCAGTGCCACAGACTGATCGACTCCATGCCACGCCGCATTGCTGCAGTAATACAGGCCAAAGGAGGCCCAACTAAATACTGAGTGCTGTACATGCTCATACTTTTCATGTTCATACTTTTCAGTTGGCCAACATTTCTATAAATCCTTTGTTTTTATTGGTCTTCAGTAATATTCTAATTTTCTGATATGATGAATTTGAGATTTTCATTTGTTGTCATTTGTAATCATCAAAATTAAACAAAATAAACATCTGAAATATATGAGTTTGTATGTAATGTATGAATATAATATACAAGTTTCACTTTTTAAATGGAATTACTGAAATCAATCTACTTTTTCATGATATTCTAATTTTATGACCAGCACCTGTACAATGATCAGAACAGCCCACCCTTCTTCTGGTGGGCAAGCTCTCAACTACCTGCTGTTGCTGATTTTAGCAGAGGACAGCATTTAGTTCGACTTATCAGTGGCATTAAAGCCAGGACACTACAAACTGAAGCCTGTTCAATTCTAGCAAAATTTTCTCAGAACCAGCTGATGTTCTTTAGCTGTCAGAGGTCTGATACCTCATCTGTTGGATCATGCAAAGCACTGTTCCCTCCTTGGACCACGGAAGACAACCAATTAGAGCAGCAGTCACCTAGATGAATTATTTTTTTTTTTTACTTACACTTAACCATTTATCTAGTTTCTTTGAGGACAGTGGACAAAATGGCCACTTTTTGCCTGTGTCAGTTTCACCAGCTGCCACAATAACATGTCATGATTTTTGCTTTCCATTACATCGAATAACAGAAAAAGAGAACAATACTTGATTTTGATTTACTGCCAACATAGTTCGAATATATCCAAAAGGATTCTCTTGCTATAAAGCAAGGTAAACTTAAACTGACAAAAGTGCTGATAAGTTCGATTGAACTTAATTTGTACTGTAGCCTCATCGGCTTTATGCAAACATTTAAAGCTGAAAGAACATGGGCAAATAAAGGCACAATCGCTTCTTTATCAAATATTCACAATCCATCTATATACAAAGATTCATTCAGTACTAAAGTAAAAATGTTTTTAATTCTTGTAAATATGATGGAGTCTATTTTCCAAGAGCTTTGTCCAAATTGTTCTTAATGGCATCCAGGAAGTCAGTCGTGTTGACATAATGTTGATTCAGTTTAACCCTATACAAGAAAAAACAAAAACAGTGATTACAATGCAGGAAATAATTTTTTTTTGTTTCTTAAGCGAACTAATAGGAACTTGAAAGGAAATAATTCAAACTCACTTAGACAAGCCGTGGATGCAGCCTGCCAGGTCTTTGGTCATCAGCCCGCTCTCCACCGTTTCCACGCACACTTTTTCTAACGTCTGACAGAACCTTTAAAGCCAAGGACCATTTTGTAAAAAAAAAAAAAAAAAGTCTACAGTTATATAAAAATATGCATCAGAGAAATGGCTTACTTTATTAAATCTGAGTTTCCATCCAGTTTTCCTCTGTGTTCCAGCCCTCTGGTCCAGGCAAAGATACTAGCTATGGGATTGGTGCTGGTTGGTTTGCCCTACAAATAAACACACACCTTAAATCCATGTTAGAAAGGAAAGCCTTAGCAAAGGATACCAGATGTTTACAAACTCTAAACTGGGCGTAAATCAAGTTTTCTGTGTAACATCAAATGTCAGAATAATCATCAATGATTCAAATTTCTTTAAATGCACAAATTTACATATCTTTCCTCAGATTTTGGTGGAATTTAAATATGTCATTTGCATTAATTATTCTGGGTTTCCTTCCAGCTATTCATCAGTTTGCTTGAATTCTGGTGCATTCCTGCAGACAGCACTATGGTTAACTGAACCAGGATAGTAGCCCACCTTGTCTGCTTCGGCTCTGGCTACAGGTTCTTTATCAGATTGCTATCAGTATTGTGCGATGGCTTATTATTCACTCTAATAGGATATAGTCTGTTCATAAAAATATGTTTAAATGATATTTTGCTAGAACAGATTCAAACTATAAATTTTCTGCTTTTATTTAAAGCTTATTCCAAATATCTGATTTTAAAACAACAAAAAAAAGCTATATATTTTTCTCTCCACCACATTAAAAAGCCTTACTATTTGGTGTTCTCTGTAGTGCCTGGTGACGGTACCATGAGCAGCTTCGGCTTCAATAGTCCTGCCATCCGGACACACCAGTACCGACGTCATGAGACCCAGGGATCCAAAGCCTGTTTGGATCACAGACGGATCATTTAAAACAAACAAGGTAATCTTTTGGAGACATTCAGAGCTGCATTGCTTCGTTTTCCCGTTTCAGCACACCGACCCTGAGCCAGAATGTCCGACTGCACATCTCCATCGTAATTTTTGCAGGCCCAAACAAATCCTCCGCTAGATTTCAGAACTTGGGCCACCATGTCATCAATAAGTCGGTGCTCATACCAGATCTTCAGCTTGTCAAACTCGGGCTTATATGTCCTAGTGAGAGATGAGGTTTGAAAATATAAATAAATAAAAGATAGTTGAGAGATGCAAAGATCAGGATATTGAGTCCGATATCGGATCAGTTTTATTCATATAAAAGGGTCAGAGGTATTACTGTCCTGTGTGCCTAAAAGCGACTCAAACATTTTAGCAGGACTCCCTCAAAAAATATTTTCCAGTATTACTTTTGCAGCCTGAATGAGAACATGTTTAAGTCCTAAAAGACGCAACTTCCTTAGAAAAAGTTTCCAGTAGGCCTCTGCTTTCTCATCGATAGGAAACACGTCCAACTTCAGTTAAGTCTCGTCTTGTCATTAAGCCCTTCTATCACCAATGCTTGGCTTATGTTTTTTTTTTTTTTACAGGTGCTGGTCATAAAATTAGAATATCATGAAAAAGTAGATTGATTTCAGTAATTCCATTTAAAAAGTGAAACTTGTATATTATATTCATACATTACATACAAACTCATATATTTCAGATGTTTATTTTGTTTAATTTTGATGATTACAAATGACAACAAATGAAAATCTCAAATTCATCATATCAGAAAATTAGAATATTACTGAAGACCAATAAAAACAAAGGATTTATAGAAATGTTGGCCAACTGAAAAGTATGAACATGAAAAGTATGAGCATGTACAGCACTCAGTATTTAGTTGGGCCTCCTTTGGCCTGTATTACTGCAGCAATGCGGCGTGGCATGGAGTCCATCAGTCTGTGGCACTGCTCAGGTGTTATGATAGCCCAGGTTGCTCTAATAGTGGCTTTTAGCTCTTCTGAATTGTTGGGTCTGGTGTATTGCATCTTCTTCTTCACAATACCCCATAGATTTTCTATGGGGTTAAGGTCAGGAGAGTTTGCTGGCCAATTAAGAACAGGGATACCATGGTCCTTCAACCAGGTACTGGTAGCTTTGGCACTGTGTGCAGGTGCCAAGTCCTGTTGGAAAATGAAATCTGCATCTCCAAAAAGTTGGTCAGCTGCAGGAAGCATGAAGTGCTCTAAAACTTCCTGGTATGTGGCTGCGTTGACCCTGGACCTCAGAAAACACAATGGACCAACACCAGCAGATGACATGGCACCCCAAACCATCACTGACTGTGGAAACTTTACACTGGACTTCAAGCAACGTGGATGAAGTGCCTCTCTTCTTTTCCTCCAGACTCTGGGACCTTGATTTCCAAAGGAAATGCAAAATTTACTTTCATCAGAGAACATGACTTTGGACCACTCACCAGCAGTCCAGTCCTGTTTCTCTTTAGCCCAGGCAAGACGCTTCTGACGCTGTCTGTGGTTCAAGAGTGGCTTGACACAAGGAATGCGACAGCAGAAACCCATGTCTTTCATACGTCTGTGTGTGGTGGTTCTTGAAGCACTCACTCCAGCTGCAGTCCACTCTTTGTGAATCTCCCCCACATTTTTGAATGGGTTTTGTTTCACAATCCTCTCCAGGGTGCGGTTATCTCTCTTGCTTGTACACTTTTTTCGACCACATCTTTTCCTTCCCTTCGCCTCTCTATTAATGTGCTTGGACACTGAGCTCTGTGAACAGCCAGCCTCTTTAGCGATGACCTTTTGTGTCTTGCCCTCCTTGTGCAAGGTGTCGATGGTCGTCTTTTGGACAACTGTCAAGTCAGCAGTCTTCCCCATGATTGTGTAGCCTATAGAACTAGACTGAAAGACCATTTAAAGGCTTTTGCAGGTGGTTTGAGTTAATTAGCTGATTAGAGTGTGGCACCAGGGGCCATCAATTTTGAACCTTTTCACAATATTCTAATTTTCTGATATGATGAATTTGAGATTTTCATTTGTTGTCATTTGTAATCATCAAAATTAAACAAAATAAACATCTGAAATATATGAGTTTGTATGTAATGTATGAATATAATATACAAGTTTCACTTTTTAAATGGAATTACTGAAATCAATCTACTTTTTCATGATATTCTAATTTTATGACCAGCACCTGTATTCTCTGCTACAACAACCCACAAACAGCTCAACAGTGATATGCTGAGAGAGAACAACGTTAGGGGATCAAAGCTCCTCGTCTTACTTTTCAAATATTTCCTCAAAGATGTCTTTGAAGCGACCGTCGTAAGCCTTGAGGATTGTGTTCTTGGTGCTCATGTACAGAGGCCACCTCTTCTGGATGGCATACTGGAAGCAGCTGTGAGCAAAGCCGCTGATGGACTGTGTGATGAAAATGAAGTTGCAATTCAAATAGCTTAGATCACAACAATGAAAATCCATTGAAGAAACATGCACCTATTGGTTGGCTCGATTACTTATTTTTGGACGCGTTCTAAATGCGGAAACTTGCTCTCACCTCATCAGTGTTGTACATTCCCATCCCACAGCCTCCAGCCTGGAAGTCGTAGACCTCCCACACCTTCTGCTTGCTTCCATCTGTTGGAGCGAATACCAACTTAAACTTCCCAGGTTTGTCCACAACAAAGTCCGTGGCCCTGTACTGAGAGCATTTCAAAGGGTTTAATCATTGAATTATGAGTTAATACGAATCCGCCTCCTTTCTGTGAATACCTGATCTCCAAAGGCATGCCTGCCGATGGTGATGGGCTGCGTCCAACCAGGAACCAGACGGGGAATGTTTTTACACAGGATGGGCTCGCGGAAAACTGTGCCGCCCAAGATGTTCCTGATGGTTCCATTGGGGCTCTTCCACATCTTCTTAAGCTTAAACTCTTCAAAAACAACAAAAAAAAAACATTAGAATACAGTGAAATATTTGGATATCTTTAAATGCAGATCAGTTTATTGGGGATAACCTCGTCATACACTCATCAGACCGCCTTCAGATTCACCTTCAACTCTGGCCTCATCAGGAGTGATTGTTGCACACTTTACAGCCACGTTGTATTTCTTAGTAGCCAGGGCTGAATCGATGGTGACCTGGTCGTCTGTCTGTTCTCGATAGGGCAGACCCAGGTCAAAATATTTCAGCTCCACTTCCACGTTTGGTAAGATGAGCTAAACAAGATGATCTCATATCAAGGCCAACGGCAAACTCCAAAGCATTTGAACATATTGACACAAAAAGTGACTAAAGGAGGCTTTTTTTAACCCTCTCTGCTCTACCTTCTCTTTTATGAACTCCCATATGATACGCGTCATCTCATCCCCATCCATCTCCACAACCGGCTTGTCCACTTTGATGCGCTTTGTTGAATCTGAAACATAAAGTGAGACTAAGTGAAAACAAGGTTTCTGCAGGTTGACCTGAGTTAACTTGGTTTACTTGATTAGTTAACTGACCTTTGTATGCAAATTAATTGAATCGCCACATTAGAGCAACTAAAACCTGTCTTTATGCATCCAAACCTCCTGAATTACAGGAGAGGCAGCTTGTTAAAAACTGCGCAATTAATTGCATTTGCAATATAGTCGCAATTGAAAATATCAGAGGTACTGATTTTTAATCATATTTCTCAGTTCAATTAAGTTTATTTCTATAGCGGCAATTCACAACATGTCATCTCAAGGCACTTTACAGTTCAACCAAATCATCCAGTCAGATTTCTATCTAAGGAAAACCAGCTGATTACATAGAGTCATTGACCCGTTTTTCAATGTGTACTTGTGCGTTCTCATGTGCTCGTGAACTTTTGAACCGTCATCAGCCTCAGCCCTAGTACTGTTCCAATTGACAAGAACACAATGTCATCACCCGGTCCAGCCCAGAAGCACGACCCGTACCATCAGCTCATTTGCAGAACCAACTTTACATCCGGGACGCCCTCGATTTTAATTTGTAAAAAAAGAACTAAATTACATTTTTCCCTCCCCCAAAATAGTAAACATACTAAAATATAATGTGTTAAAGGTTAATGTATTTCCTGAGAAAATAAATGCATTAAAATCCTGTTTTATCAAAGTCAGAATTCTGATATTTTTTCTCTTACTGAAATTAAATAAATAAAAAATCGGTAACTTTTTTTCCCCCCTCAGTTGCCCTAATCCTCTTCTATAACACTGTGACCTTAGGAACATATAGGATCTTTGACAGCTTTTATTACGCAACTCCTTTTTTTGCACCCAACACGTGGACAGCAGAGCCAAAGCAGACTGCAAATACACAGTTCAACACATATTTGTAAATATATGAACACTTTTCTTGTATATTTGGAAAATTCTTATCTTGACATAATGTTAATGGTATCTCAAAAGTTAGTTTTGTTCTTTGCTTGTTTTTTTTGTTTTTTTCCAATCTAAATGATCACATGGCCCAGCACTAATGGCTCTGTGTGATTCATCAATGGCTTGAAGCCAAAACAGCAGAAACTTCCCGTTACCTTTTATTTATAAATGCACCTGCACCTCATACCTGTGTTCGTTTGCGTCACAAAGAGCCTCAGCAAAAAGAAGCAACGTGTTGGAGTCATTATGGTTTTAGTGGAAAGCTGACTTACAGTCTCTCTGCTGCGCTCTGTGAAGGCAGAGAGCGGCTGGTGAAAGCGCCGCTGGGACGGACGCATGTGGAGCGGCCAGCCTCCTCCACGCGGGGCTCCAAGCTCTCAGGTAACCCGCCATGTCTGGAAGGGACAGGTGGAAAGTGACAGACCACGCAATGGGACACAAGAGCAAAGAAAGCTCCACGCGCACCTGGCTGCAAGCACGTGACCGAGTCCCCCAGGCGCACCTGTGTGCGCGTAGCTCTTCCGGTGAGCTGAGGCGGATTTAGGAAATTTGGGTCCCTAAGCAAAGGCAGGCATGGGGCCCTTAGAACTGAAAAGATGACTCATAATACAGACCTATATAGAGATACAGAAAATGTTAATAGAATAGACAAACATTATTTACAAAATTTTGACTGCCCTTAATGATTTATATTTTATATATTTAATATTTTTATATCATGTCTAGGGAAAAATAACAATTCAAAATATCTTTAAGAGAGTCAAAATGCCTTTTGAGATATTTCAAATGACGTCATCTGATTTGTCAGTTAAAGTGTCACACATCCGGAATTATAATCAAAATATTTCACTTAATTTTGATTAGTCAAAAATCATTTTTTTTGAATATCTGAATTATGAAATATACCCCTAATGTGTCACTGAGCTGTCCTAACAGCTGCCTGCTGAATTTTGCATGGCTGCAATGGAGCTGGCTCTTCTTGTTTCAAAATGCCACAATATAGAAAGAACTCAGCAGTATGGGATGTGCGGAGAACAATAACTCTGTGAATTCTAAGACATCTTCAGAAATCTGTCATTAAATGCCACGGGGCGGATATAGCTCAGCTGTAAATAAAGCCTCTTTATCGTAATGAAAAAAACAAACAAACAAAGGTTATAAAACATTAGGTCTCATTAAAAGACAGATATATTAAAATCAAACATTCAAAATAGAATTGTAAATAGATATTTTAAAGGTTTGAATTTTTTTTCACAGCATTTCAATATTTTTTTCTATACAACTAACAGAGAACAAAAATATTTTACACTCCTTGTTTGACTGATTTCATTTTGTATTGTTTTTTATTTATTTTTTATAAATATTGTGTTTGTCAAATATTACATTATTGATGTTGCTGGTAAAGATTCGCAGTTGTCCAAGTCATAGTCATTCCAAGAAAAGAAATTAAAAAACAATCCACTGGACTTTGTTTCCAAGTTTGAAGACGTTTAGTTTTCCATCCAGGAAGCTTTTTCAATTCAAAATGTCAGGGGTGTTGAGTTGGAGGCTGTATACAAAAGCCCAACAAAGCCTTGTTTTTGTTTTGAAAACATGAAAATTGAAACGGATGAACGGGTCCACCCCTCCAGAATGGGGGTTTGGCTTCTGTTGTTAGCCTTTAATGCCCCATACCTGTCTATGTCTCTGAAATTGGTGTTTTTATATTATTGATATAACAACTTTTTTATATCAATAATAAAAAGCTCTCTTTAGTGAGAGTTCTGATAAAATTTTATTTTTTTCAAAGCTTTGTTTTATTCATTACGCTGTACATAACTGTGTTCTCTTAAATTACGCATTTCCAGGCCCACACGGTACTTATCCAATTAATTTAAACTCCACCCAATAAGGTAATAACAGATCAAAGTGCTAGAAAGAAATTTGTTTTTTTTACTGGTGGAGTTTACATGAATTGCAGCCCGACTGTCAGTGTTCGCTTCTGTTATCATCAAGAGTAATTTCTGCTTAGTCAAAACCAGAGAGAATAACTGTCTGACACAGCACAGGTCAAACTAACATGTAATTACAGGTGCTGGTCATAAAATTAGAATATCATGAAAAAGTAGATTGATTTCAGTAATTCCATTTAAAAAGTGAAACTTGTATATTATATTCATACATTACATACAAACTCATATATTTCAGATGTTTATTTTGTTTAATTTTGATGATTACAAATGACAACAAATGAAAATCTCAAATTCATCATATCAGAAAATTAGAATATTACTGAAGACCAATAAAAACAAAGGATTTATAGAAATGTTGGCCAACTGAAAAGTATGAACATGAAAAGTATGAGCATGTACAGCACTCAGTATTTAGTTGGGCCTCCTTTGGCCTGTATTACTGCAGCAATGCGGCGTGGCATGGAGTCCATCAGTCTGTGGCACTGCTCAGGTGTTATGATAGCCCAGGTTGCTCTAATAGTGGCTTTTAGCTCTTCTGAATTGTTGGGTCTGGTGTATTGCATCTTCTTCTTCACAATACCCCATAGATTTTCTATGGGGTTAAGGTCAGGAGAGTTTGCTGGCCAATTAAGAACAGGGATACCATGGTCCTTCAACCAGGTACTGGTAGCTTTGGCACTGTGTGCAGGTGCCAAGTCCTGTTGGAAAATGAAATCTGCATCTCCAAAAAGTTGGTCAGCTGCAGGAAGCATGAAGTGCTCTAAAACTTCCTGGTATGTGGCTGCGTTGACCCTGGACCTCAGAAAACACAATGGACCAACTCCAGCAGATGACATGGCACCCCAAACCATCACTGACTGTGGAAACTTTACACTGGACTTCAAGCAACGTGGATGAAGTGCCTCTCTTCTTTTCCTCCAGACTCTGGGACCTTGATTTCCAAAGGAAATGCAAAATTTACTTTCATCAGAGAACATGACTTTGGACCACTCACCAGCAGTCCAGTCCTGTTTCTCTTTAGCCCAGGCAAGACGCTTCTGACGCTGTCTGTGGTTCAAGAGTGGCTTGACACAAGGAATGCGACAGCAGAAACCCATGTCTTTCATACGTCTGTGTGTGGTGGTTCTTGAAGCACTCACTCCAGCTGCAGTCCACTCTTTGTGAATCTCCCCCACATTTTTGAATGGGTTTTGTTTCACAATCCTCTCCAGGGTGCGGTTATCTCTCTTGCTTGTACACTTTTTTCGACCACATCTTTTCCTTCCCTTCGCCTCTCTATTAATGTGCTTGGACACTGAGCTCTGTGAACAGCCAGCCTCTTTAGCGATGACCTTTTGTGTCTTGCCCTCCTTGTGCAAGGTGTCGATGGTCGTCTTTTGGACAACTGTCAAGTCAGCAGTCTTCCCCATGATTGTGTAGCCTATAGAACTAGACTGAAAGACCATTTAAAGGCTTTTGCAGGTGGTTTGAGTTAATTAGCTGATTAGAGTGTGGCACCAGGGGCCATCAATTTTGAACCTTTTCACAATATTCTAATTTTCTGATATGATGAATTTGAGATTTTCATTTGTTGTCATTTGTAATCATCAAAATTAAACAAAATAAACATCTGAAATATATGAGTTTGTATGTAATGTATGAATATAATATACAAGTTTCACTTTTTAAATGGAATTACTGAAATCAATCTACTTTTTCATGATATTCTAATTTTATGACCAGCACCTGTATATCCAAGTTGTTACTGCAATATTTTATTTAACCACCAGGTGGCACTCGCACAGAAGCTGGTCTACAGAAAACTGAACCAAAAATAATTCTGAAAGTGTGTTTACACCAAACTCCTACGTTATCAAGTCTGCTGGTTGTTAGTTTCACCTCAATATGGCGGATTTTGGTTCACGAAGTGACTGGCAATGCTGTTTTTCACTTTTAACTGTACTTCCGCCTACCTTTGACCCCAGTTTGGGACCCTGCTGTCACTAATTGGGGGACAAATCACCCGGACAACAGATGGAAGGGAAGCTCAGACACGAGTAGCGTGTAATGAGTGCCAGAAAACCGGTTGAGAGAGAACTAGAACCAGGAAGAGGCTGCCAGCCGTGTCCACCGTGAAACTAAGGAATCAAAGTGGGAGATTTTGAGGAAGAAAGGAGTGCATCAGGGCAGGGGAGGACAGCAGTAGATCGGAGAAGCGAAAGCTGGCCATTGTCTGTGCTGGAGGTAGGACAAAGAAACTGTCCTTAGTGCCAAATAAAAGGGCTTTTTTTAGAAACCACCCACAAACCTCTTAAGAGCATTCCTGCTTCATCCTTTGTCAATATTATTTTCTCTTTGTTCTATTTTGATTTAAAAAAATCTTATCTTGCTGCCTTCTTCACTGTAGGTCACAGCCACATTTAGTACTTGGATTTAGCAAAGTAAATGTAAGCAAAGGTTCAGATTTTTCAACCCCTGAGAATTTCGATTGCTTAAAAGGTGGGAATAAAATATGATTTTGTAGATACAAAAAAAGGTAGGAGAATTTATAACCAGGACAGGGAGCTGAAAAGCAGGCAGTATAGTAACAAGATTAATATTAGGACATATTTAGGATTTAATTCTAAACTGCTTAAAATACAAAAGCATGCTACAGGAACATGTGAATATTGTTCAGAGGATACATCCATAACACATGCTGTATTGAGACATCCAGAATTAAGAGCAAGAAAAAAAAAATGAGGATTGATTTTGAAAGAATTAATTAAAAATTAAGTATAATAGAGACATTAACAAATAGGTTTACAGAGCAAATACAGAAATTTCATTTAGTTTTTTTTTTTTTTAGAAAATAATTAATTATTGTAATTTGATTATATAGCACATGGTTTGGAAGTTAATTTATGAAGAGCAACACTCTATACCAAGAAGTGGCGGTAATGCACACCTTAAACTTTTTGGCCAACTTTCAATAAACAACATAAGAAGGAGATGGAAGAAAACACGGAAATTCGATGTCTGCGTCCAATCCCTTTGAATTATTACATAAAAATTAAATATCTCGCCCGTAGACAGCTGGAGACAGGCACCAGCACCACTTGCGATAAGCGTGACAGAAAATGGATGGATGGATTTTTATAAGTTTTTTTTGTTTGTTTTTTTGTCTGTGTAATTTCCAGTCTCCACTCCATAGCAGATGCTGGTAGTAATTCACTCCTACAGTTATTTGCAAACAACCATTAAAATTCCAGAAGATTAAAACTTAATATAATATATTAATTAAACATAGAATACATAAATCAGTTATTACATTTCTGAACAATAGATGATTATATACAAGAATTTAGATTAAAGGGAGATACACTGGTCCACACTACAGCATAGTAGATGGAGATAATGTATCTTAAGATGTAGATGTCACCCATCAGTAAAAATCAGAAAGAAGAAGAAGAAGCAGTGGCATTGATATTTGTTTATGTTGGGTTCCAACACATTAAGGTGTAAAAGGCAATGAAAAGGCAGATATATAAGCAAAAAGGTTTATAGGGGGCAACAACGATTACAATTCATTTTGGGAAAGGTGAATCACTAATTAAGAGTAAAGAAATGGAAAAATTACAAAAAAGATGGAATAAAGATAATAAAGTAAGAGGATTACATGAAAGTACAAAAGTCAATATTAAATAGACTTTATTAATGAGAGAAACAGAGGGGAAGAAGTAATAATGATCAGATTAAGAGTGGGTCATACCTATTGAAATGACAATTTATATTTAATAGGGGGGGGGGTGATAATGGTAAATGTGAAGGATGTGGAGAAAAGGAAAATGTAGAAAACGTACTGATGAACTGTAACACTTATGAGCATGAAAGGGAGAAATTGAGAATAATGGTTGTAGGGACCGGCCGAGAATGGATGCTTAAAGTTCTTTTTTTTTTTTTTTTTTTTTTTTTTTTTTACTTTTAACAACATTTTATTTACACAATTGAAAACATATAAACAAGCATTGATGTAAATCAAGTGTCAACTAAAAATCATAAAATAAGGAGCTTGTTGAATTGTAGTTGTCCTTCATCTAACACGGTACATAAAATGTTGTTAAGACCCAACAGCTGAATAAAATCCCCCATGTTCTGTGTGGCTCTATGGAAGTGAAACTCCAGCCTTATTCTGGCTTTAACATCATACTTCCACAAAAATATTGGGAAATTAAGAAAATTTAAAAGATATTTGCAGATTTAGGAAATCGTTATTTTTTTATCGTCAGAATACAAAAAAAAAAAAAATAAATAAATAAATAAATAAAATAGAATTTGGCAGATGTAAAGTAATGTTGCCACACACATGTACAGTAAGTGGCGGTATGCATCTTAAAGTTGTTGCGATCCGCCATAATGGAAATGAAGAAGACTAATGCTTAGTATTGTGAAATGAAGGAAATATAAAGGATATTCCCAGATCAATGAAAGCATTTTTGTTTATCTACAGAATACAAAATAAAAAAATAGAATTTGATGTAAAGTAATGTTGCTACAGACTCATGTACAGTAGGTGGCGCTATGCACCTTTAAGTTCAATGCGTTCATAATAGAAAAGAAGAAGTAGAAGGATTCCAGGAGAAGAAGAAGAAGAAGACGAAAATGGCTGCGCCCTGTAGCTCGGTAGCAAGTCGGTCATTCTCCCAGCTCCTGTATTGTTTTAACCGGACAGTCGGTGGGGGTTTGGGATGTCGCCATTTTTCTATCACTCCTTCTCGCAGAGGGTTTCCACAGAGCAGTTCTACAGAGGAAAGAGCAGCTTCTCCATGGACCCTGATGGCGGCAGTGTGTCTGCAGAGGTTACCTGTCATCACTGCGGACTGCAGCCCGATAGAGGAGCGCTTTAAGCAGATGATGCAGCAGGTGAGAGGATCTAAAGATGATCAGTAGAAGACTTTAGCCTGAATAATGAGGCTACACCTCCAGGACAGCCGAACCATGGTTCTTATAAACTTTTTTTCCCGGACATGCCATTGATCAGAGGTTTAGGGGTGCTGAAAACAAAGAGATGCATTTCATTTTTTTTTCTACATTTGTTTAAACATGTTCAGTGCCTTTTTGCAATTACCGACTCCATTATGAACTGATGCATCATATCTGAGATTTTAGCAAAACACCAGACAAGCAAACTGGAGTCACCGCTCTGCTGCTGGAGGCAGATTACCAAACTATGTGTTTCATATTTATTAAGGGATATAAACATTGATATAAGCTACTGTTACCTCCACCTTGCTTTATTATTATTATTATTTAAAGTAATCTGGTGTCCATAATTAGGCTGTCTGCACACAGCAGGACTTATAATGCAAATGTATTTGCAGTTAGCTTGTCATTACTAGAAGAATAGAAGAAGAATAGAAATGTACTGATCTCACACTGGAGAATTGAACTCTCTGCATTTAACCCATCACCTTGGGGAGCAGTGGGCTGCCATTGTGTGGCGCCCGGGGAGCAGTGTGGGGTTAAAGGTTATTGCTCAGGAGCCCAGAGTGGATCAGATCCTTTTTTTAATGATGGGGATGGATAACCATACATTTTATTCATGAAGCAATGAGAACACCTGAATTTACTTCACCTGCAGCTGCAGTCAATGAATATGACAGAACTGCACCCTTAATACGATAGTTTATTGGCTATAACACATATGTGAGGATATTATGTTTCCTGCACATATTTGGATCTGGTCAGGGGTCCAGATGTGACAACAAACTACTGACTGTTCTGGGGATGTTAGAACAGATTTTGTTTTTGCATAGAGGAGGTGCAGTCGAATTCAGCATTTTCAGGAACTCTGAAATGCCATTTAAATATGACATTTCCTCTTGAAGGGAGGAACACCTTATTTGACGCTCTGTTTCCTTCTACCTCTATGTGATACTGCTGATGACACAGGTAAAGACTTATCCTTCAGGGGGTGTGGGGACACCTCGGCCCCAAGACTCTTATGGTTCAAAGCTGCTGTGGTAACAGAGGGTAACCTGATGGACTTGTCCTAACATTGAACTGTTTTGCATGTTGGAGAGGATCGCTGCTCATAGATACACTTTCTCTTCCAAGACCAGTAGCAGGATGGCTCCTGACCAGTTTCCCACATATAGATCCACTGACATAGATTCACGCACACACACACGGGTAAAGACATGTAGGACACGCAAGGGTCCACATGGGAATTATGGAAGAAATAAAAAAATAAATTTGCTAAATAAAGCAGCCTATCTTTAACATTTGCAACCCTCTGTGAGCACAAGCCCACTGCTCTAACCACTAGGCCAACACTCCTCCAAGATAAGGATAGAGTTGGGGCTTGAACCAGGAAACTGGCTGTCACATACCTAGAAGGACTATTAGCCATTTGGGATCCGAATTGTGACATGACTAATAAAAAACTGTATTACGAAACAAACCAAATATTTATAATAATTGCATCATTAGGCTATTAACCCCTTAGCTGTAATTAACATATGTTTATGACAGCAGCTAGAGTCTCTCATTCCAGTTTAAACAGGACATTGGTACTGAAAACCTGTAAGGTTAACTAACTCCAACCAACAGAGGGTAGGGGATATAGAGTAACCCAAGTCTAAGCTCAGCAAACACGATGACTGTAGGGGTGTAAATCACACCTATCATGATGATTAGATTCAGTATCAATTTCCTGACCCAACGATTCGATTATTTTCGATACTCAAGAATCCGCCATTTCTGTCTTGCCTACTGTTTACGCGAGTGTGTGTCTGCATGCAGAAAGAGGGTAGTGGCTTAAGGAAGCGAGGTAAGAGGGCAAAATATGTTTAGCACCACCACAGCATGGGAGTCAGAATTACGCCATAGGAGCAAATAGATGAAAATAGTAGGAGAAAAAAACATGAATCAAAACTCTTGCGGACGTGTCAATGCATCGGATCGTCAGCTGTCGGATCGATGCATCGATACAAAACGATTATTTACACCTCTAGAGGACTGGTTATCATATTATTGTGTTGGTGTTAAGCACGGGGCAATATGTTCTGCAACATATTTTTTATTTAATTTAGGGGTGCTTCAGGCACCACCAAAAAAGGCTAAAAACTCCTCTGCAGTAAGCTGCTATAAAAAACTGCATGTCTCTCTTAGGAGTAAATACAATCTCGTTTTGATTGATTATCATTGAGAAGTATAGACTCTTTGATTCTTCTTCTTTTTTTCTCTTTTCTTTTACATTTTATTTTGTCTTAAGTAGACACAAAGATATATTAGACACACTATTTCTACAATGAAAAAAAAAAATTCCAGGATTTTGTATAAGTATTAAACAAAAACACTACAATTATCGTCTAACTGCCTCCTAGCCTTTGCTAAAAAAAAAAAAAAAAAAAAACATAACTTCTCCAAAATCTTAAGGAGGAGAAAAGGCTACATTTTGAACATGTTTCTGTTTGTTTTTAAAGACAAGTTTTGGCAGATCAATCAGATCAATCAATCTTCTTTATTGTCAACTACAATTTACATTATAATCGAAATTTCAGTTTGAGTACAAAGATACTAGATGTATGGTGCTGCAGATTTATGCTCACTCTGAATTATTTCCAGATGGAGCTGGAGAAAAGCCTGCTGTCGGACCACGAGCTGCGGCTGATGGAGGACGCAGAGAGGATGAGTCGGAAGCAGGCTGACGACTACGACTCAGATGAAGAGGAGGGACGTGATGACCAAGAGATCATGATGGCTCAGGACCTGGAGGACACCTGGGAGCAGAGGTTAAAGAGCTTCCAGCCTGCTCCAAGGTTCAGAGGTCCGTGTAGAAACTGGAATGGATCTGTGTTCCTTTTCTATGTCTGCTTCACTCTCCATGAACATTCTTAACAAATCTGAATGTCTGATTTGATAGAACCGTCTGTGTAAAGCTTCTTGAGGTGATCTTCTGTTAATTGATGCCATATAAATGAACTTAATTGATTTAGAATTAATTGGAAAATATATGAAATATATTTGCTATCTAGTAAAACAGAAATATTCAACATAAAGAAAAGTAGCTCAGAAGAATCTGGATGGACTTATTTTTTTTTTTTTTTCGCATTGGCATTCAGAAAGTCTGCCTTCTCCAGAACCTTCAATTGGCATTTTCCTTCCTGTGACATTTGGAAAGTTAGTGTAAAATCTGCTCACACTAGCAGAGCGAACGGTCATGTGTCCCCTCTGCCTGCCTTTATCTCCTCTAGCTGACGCAGATAAGGACTTGACCTCGGTGCAGCGCTGTCTGGCCAACTCGCTGGTGCTGCTGGCTGAGCAGCAGGTGGGAGCAGAGAAGCTGTGGCTGCTTCCTCAGGCAGCGTGGCAGGAGGGAGAAACGCTGCGGCAGACGGCAGAACGAGCGCTCAGCTCCGTTTCAGGTATCACAACTTTATGTGTGTTTTTTTGGTGTATGTTGTTGATCTTCTTTTTCCCACCAGTTGTTAATACGCTTATATCCTTATTTTCATCCCTGAAAAGAAGATAAAATCAGCCGAACTGATTAATAGTACATAAATACTTTATTACCATTGTATCAAAATGAGAGGCATTTTTTTTTTTTTTTTTTTTTTTTTACATATAATATCTTTATCTTAATATCAAAATTAAGCTAAATTAAACTAAAATCTAGAACATTTGAAAAAATATCCTCTTTCGAGATGTAAAAACTCTGTTCCCATTCGAAAACAAACAATATATTTTATTGGGATTTTAAGTGATGGAAAGACACCAAACAGCTTAATATTGTGATTTGAAATTAATATAATACGTGCTTTTTAATCTTATTTTCTTTTACAAATGCATATTGACGAGAAATCAACTGATACAGCTTTTTATTACCAGTACTGATAATGTTTAAATCAATTTAACCAATCCCTAAAATGTGCTGCCTTTTTTTTCTTTGTGTTTAGGAACCAATTCTTTGGTTGATTTTTACGCAATAATAGGAAATGTTATATACATTTCAATTTTAATTCAAAAGAAACGTTTTATAACAAATCATTGAAATTATTACCAATGGACAACATATGACGGGAGGAGCAAATTCACGCCTCATATTATTTTAAGGCACAGCTGCTATATGCACTAATGAATGTGAACAGATCTGCTAATACTGATACAAGACGATAAACGACCAAAACGTTTATCAGACAAAGATGTCTGCTACCTGATGAATCTGTCTTTCTCCAGCATCTGTGTCTGTGGGTTCAGATTTATCCTGCTGGAAGGTGATTAACCTCCGTGTCTCAAGTCATCGTCTCCAACCTGATTTCTTTGTATTAGCCCTCCTCTCAGCTCCATCCAGCATTCCATCTACTGTCTCTGTAGAATAAAAGAAAAGAATTATAATTGCATGATGGAGCCTCCACCGTGCTTTATAGCTGTACATTGGCTTTTTACCACACAGGGGTTTCAAGTGTAAGCAATGGTTTCCTCCTTGTCTGCTGTAGAGGCCAGACTTGTGAAATGCAACCTCTACTTTACCTCCAAACATATTCCTCCCCCTGAGCTTTGGATCTCTGTTCAGCTCGTCCACAAATCTTATCTTATCTAATAAGATCTATCTATGATTAACGATTCCTGCAAAGTAAAATCGAGTAATGATGTGATCTGGTTTCAGTTCCCTACAGTCCGATCTGTGTCGTCAGTTTACCCTCTCTAAAAAAAATCTATGTACAAATGGGTCAAAAGTTTTCATGTGGGATCACACACTATCCGTGTTTTGTTTTTTTTGCTCTTTTTTTTAATCAACAAATTTGGATGGAAATGAATGTTATCTTTTTCCAGGTCAATTTTTTTGCAGCTACTCATGTTTTATAAATGAGACTCCTGAGCTTTCTCTCCTTCTGACTCTGAGCTTCGATTAGCTAGTCTCGTCAATACGCATCCTTTCTATTCCAGCTAACACTGTGTTAAAGCTAACCACAATGAAGTTCCCACAGCAGGTCTCTAACACAGCAGACACTTGAAACAAAGCCAGCCAGTTGTTGGCATGCAGCTAGATGAAGCCTTTAAGCTGAAGCGTCTACAAAGTAATCAGCACTTGATTAACTCAGCATTTAACTACTGGGCTTCTTTTATCAGGAGTTTGCTCCATCAATCACCTTCTATGAAGACCGTCTTTCTCACGTTACAATGCTTTGTTTGGTGGAGGGTTTTTTATTTAAAGTGTCTTTCAACTGCACAAGTTGATTCATTTTTAATAAAGCTGGACTCAGAGGGGAGCAGCCCATCTAACAAGCCGGTGTTGGTGCTTCACTCTTATGTTGAGACGTCTGGGGGGGGTGGATTTGCCTGAAACGAGATTAGTTTAAGAGATTTTGCTGCAGCTCAGAGTCAGGAGCAGAGGCAACAGCTGAGTTGCAGCAAATGTTTGATTCAAACAGTAGTAAGAGAGTCAAAACCTTGAGCATGTTTGCACGTTCCTGTTTGCTTCACCCTTCGCCTCCGCCTGATAACACTCGCCTCCCTTTTCCTCCTGTCCGCAGCAGCTGATTTCAAGGCAACTTTCCTCGGGAACGCTCCCTGTGGTGTTTACAAGTACAAACTGCCCAAGGCCACTCGGACCGAGAGCTCAATTGGGATAAAGGTGTTCTTCTTCAAAGCCATCCTGGCTGACAGCGCTCCAGGAAAAGCTCCAAACTCGGCTCTGCTTTGGTTGAAGAAAAGTGAGCTGCAGAAATACCTGAAACCAGCATACATGATGAAGGTTGACCGCTTCGTTCTCAGCTTGTGACCAGAGACTTACTCAATACAGTTTGTTGTTGATCTGTCATCCATTTTCAATAAATATTTGGTTTGTTTCGTAATAGTTTTTTTCCCCCTCAGGAACTGATATTCAAATGTATTAAAATGTATTGTGTGTCCTTAGGAGAACTGTATCTTTTTGTTAGACAAGATGAAAGCAATTCAAACATAGTCTTAGTAGGATTCCTCTGCAGTGGGACAATGACGGCTAACAGTTTTATCCACAGCTTGCTCCTCTAGGCAATAAATCAGCCAGTTGTACCGCTCTGGAAGTGAGGTGTCAGTGATTAGCTATCACTTTATCATTCAGTTCAGTATTCAGGCTGGCAGTGCTCTCTTTTTCAGTAGAGAATGTAAAAAGGTTCATGCTCGCTCATCGTTTGCATTTATTTATTAGTTTGGGATTTTTAAATAAAGCATTTGACCCGTTCAGTCATGTCAGTGAAGTAATGTTTGATAAAGAATAAGTAGGAAATGGGGAAAGTATCTAAAAAATGTGATGTATGCATTGTCATGTATAAAATGATCCACCGGGATAATTATCTGGGACACAGACCAGCCTGAGCTTTTTAAAATAATCTTTTTTATGAGGAGGGTTTGGCTGAAGGAAGGATGAGTTAAGCTCAGTGTTCGTCTGAATTATAATTTGGATCTTTATTAAGGGTTATATTTAACCCCGGCAAAAAGAGGGACAACTTTAATGCATATGTCTGAACCTTGGCTTGACTTTTAATTGTTTTTGAGAAATCTTGTGGAGAAAGTTCTTTGGAGGCTTTATGTCAGAGATTATTTGAGCTTTTGCATTAGCTGTTTCAATGGAACTGCTTTGTATGTTTCTCAGGAAATATATATGTGCATCTGGGCAGTTGATTTGGTTCTTGAATACAGCGACAAGTCTGTAATTAGGAAATGTCAAGGTTCTTGAACCAAGCAGGTACCAGACAGAAAAAACAACCATGAAACAATTGCAAATCAGGCTGAGACTTTTGACAGAGGGGGAATATCAAGTTTGTAGGTAAAGCTTCAGAGTCCAAGAAGACAAAACAGATCAAAGACACGAGGGCTGTATTTCAGATTCAAATTTCAAGAGCTTATTCCAGTTCTTAAGATTAAGAATCAGTTTATTTAATCTGATCTAAAAATAGATTTCTGGTATTGTAGTCTGTGTACTTATGCAACATATTTATACTAGTGTTGAATCAAACAGTGAAAATCAAGAAAGTAATAGTTAAGAGCAACCCTACGGCTAAACCCTCCAAGTGAATATTGAGACAATTGTGTAAAATGCATTTTAGGTTAAATGAGCACATTTTAGAAATTAGTTGATGAATTAAGAATAAAATATAACAAGACATAAACACAAAACACATAAAAACAGTATTTGTCAAATTTCATCTTATACTAGAAGTTATAATTTAATATCATGAGTCAAAGGGCCGGATTTATCAAGATCCAATTTTGCGTGCAGTAATTTGCGCTGGCAAACTGGAATTTTGCGCGAGGGGCTGAACCATGGTTTGCGGGTGATTTAACAAGAGCGATTGCGTAACTGGTGGCAGGTGCAAAACTGTTGGAGACACCCTATTTAAATGATGGTTTTGCGCGTTTTGTGGTTTGCGGCAAAGTAGTTTGTTGTTTGTGCAAACTAGCCTAGTGCATTAAGAAATTTTAATCTTACAGTGACACCCCCACCCCCTCCAAAAAAATAAAATATATATATATATATACACACTTTGGCAACCTTTATTCCCTAAGGTGGTATGTGGCTGAATTTCTACTTCACTGCAGTAAAAAAAAAACAAATCAAAAAAACGCATCCCCGCAGCATTGGCATGTTGCTCCACAGGCGCAAGGATGAGGTCGGGATTCTCCGTTAGGGCGTCAGGGCGACATGGCATTTAAAACGTCGGACACTTCTGAAAAACGAGATTGGGAGATCCCAGATGCAAAAAAGTGCAATGTTGCAAGGAGTTTTGTGATATCTGGTATTGCGTGCGTCCTCCTTGTGGCTGGCTCCAAATCCATTCGGAGTTCCCCCAACAGCTCCAAAATGGCAATGCTGGATAAACGATATGTTTTGATGATCGTTTCCTCGTTAATTCCAAAAATATTCACACGGAGTGAAAAAATTCGTTCTCTGCGTCTCCTTGCTTCATTTCGATGTCTCCTTCTTGCGACAATAACCGCTGCCATGTGTGCGCAATTACGCATACAGACCATTTGCACCTTCTTTTGAAACGTGTTAAATATAGAGTCAGATACCGTTAGCAAAATTGCTTTCAGGTTTAATAAATCACTTTGCGAGTGCTAAATTAATATATTTACATGTTCTCCTCCCACAAGACACACTTTTGCGTGTAAACGCCCCATATTGCATATTCATTGCAGAAAAAGTACTAAATGGATAAGAGGCGCTATTTAGCACGTTTTAAAGACCAAATCCTTTTAGCACGCTGTTGATAGTTCAGTTTGTACATCTTTTAGCGTGCGCAGTGAAATAGCTCACGTTTTTATACACGCAAACCTTTGATAGATCCGGCCCAAAATCTCCATATAAATGTTTTTTTTTTTTGTCCATCCTTACCAGTCAGGACTTCCTGTCTTTGACAGGGTTACTCAGATGGATCAGGAAGGTTTCACCCCATCCTCCTTTACTGCCAAGTCAGGACGGCTGTTTCATAATTCTTAAAAGACTGAGGGTTAGACAACAAAGTTCAAGAGAAGATTCAGAGAAATCCTTGTCCAAATTAAATTCCTCGCTTTTACTCCAACTCAAAAACCCGTTCTTGTCGTTTACTCATTGTCTTCCCGGTTATTTGGGACCGGTTAGCAGGGACTGCAGTCTCAGCAGCGTCCCAGCCTTCCTCTCCCCACACACCTCCTCCAGCTCGTCTGGGGGGAGGCCGAGGCTAACTGAGAGACATAGTCCTTCCAGCGTGTCCTGGGTCGTCCCCCTTAACCTCCCGATGGGACATGCCGGGAGCACTTTGAAAGGGAGGCATCCAGGTGAGTGAAAAAAGCTGACCAAACCACCTCAGCTGATTCCTCTCCATGTGGAGAAGTGGCTCTACTCCAAGCCTCTCCCAAATGACCCTCCTCACCCTATCTCTAAGCAGGAGCCTAGCCACCCTGAGGAAAAAACTTCTTTCAGCTGCTTGATATCAGTTTTTCAGACATGGTCCAGATTTCATGACCATAGGTGAAGGTAGGAGGGTAGACCAACAGGTAAATCAGGAGCTTTGCCCTTTTGCTCAACAGACTGGTGCAGCATTACTGTATAGCAGCAGCCGCACCGATCCATCTATTGATCTGCTCCATTCTTCCCTCACTCATGAACAGGACCCAACGATAATTGAACTCCTCCACTTTAGGCAGGGACTCTAACTTACCTTTCTCCAGTCGAGAAGTCAAAAACCAAATAATAAAATCTCAAAGAGCACGCGGCCACTCCCTAAGCTTACAAATTTTACCTTTTCACCGGAGGGTGAATGAAGGGAGATTTATTCTCCTTCATGTAAAAAATGATTCTAGATCATCCGGATGGCTTCCATCAGTTCCAGACTAGTTTGTGAAGCCATCTTTACCACATGGAGCAATGTTTCTACCTGTCTTCTTGAAATTATTGCATGTGAGTCCTTTCATGAAGCATTTCTGTGTCAGGCTAACATTCTTAATGTTTTATTGCATAGTAAAGTACCATTGTAGGTTTTTATATAGCTTCTCTTTTTCTAGCAACCCTATTTTAGTCTCTTTGTCTGGTTTCTTCTTATTCAGCATTTGACCAGCAGTGCATATTAAAGAACATCTCCAAAGTTAGAATATCTCATCAAAGGTTAACATTTTTTAGAGCAAATTTTAAAAAGTAAATCATTTAGATTGATTATACAAAGAGAGCTATTTGTTTTTTGTGATGTTAATTATTCTATGAAGATAATAAAAATTATGTTTTGAATAGAAATGTCTTCTTAAACATATTGTTTGCTTCAACGCCTCAATGAGTTACTGCCTAAATTGCTGCAGGATGGGATGATCGTCTGAGGGGTAACAGAGGCCCTGGTTCCTTTGCTCGCAGCCTTCAGGTCATCTGCATTGTTGGTTCTGGCGTCTTTCATCTTCCTGTTAACAATAACCGCTAAGTTCACAGAAATACCATGGTGACTAAAACAGCTTTGGGAACCTTTGGCAGTGTGAGTCGGACCCAAGTCCAGCTGGAAAAGTTGAATCAGTATCTTCATAATGCGTGTCAGCAAAATGAAAGCATGAAGAGCTCTGGAATCTAAAGCCAGATTGTTGCATCGGTTCTGGACTTCAAAAACACGGTGGACTGGAACCAGCAAATGTCAGCGTACCTTCATCCATTACTGACTGTGGAAACTTCAAACTGGGCTTAAAGTAACATGATCCTGTGCATCTACGCTCTTCCTCCACATTCTTAGACATTGATTTTTAAATGAAATGTTAATTTTTCTTTTTTTTACCTGAAAAGAGGTCTTTTGACCCCCTTATTTCCGGTCCAGTTGAGACACTTCTGATATTGTCGCTTGTTTAAGAGTGGCTTAAAGGTATAGAGGATGACCTTTTATTTCCAGGTGGATCATCAAAATAAGTGGTCCTTTTAATTGTCAATCATTCTGGTGACATGTTTACGTAAGGCCGTCCTACTTGCTCGTCCCCAGCTAGCTATAATTTTTCTGCGTGTGCTCACTTTGTAGGCGTAGATGTGTGGTGAGCTATATTTTCATCCAGTCAAGCTCATCTTTCTCACCGTGGTTCTTTAAAAATGAAGATTTGTAAGAAAAAAGTGTCTAAGAAGTGTATGAGAAGAAGAGAAAGGCCTCAGAAGAAAAAAAAACAAGAGGAGAGTGTTTTTGGGAGATTCTTTCACGCGATGGTGAACTCTGAAAGCACAGGTCGGGCTTCCCACAGATTCCTTGGTTGCAAAGTTTCTACTAACAGCTAAAGTTTGGCTATTTGGACAAATCCATTTGACATCACTGTTAGTCAAAGTTATCTACCTCTATATTTGTAACTTTTGCCTTGTTAGTAGTTATACTGTTTCCACAGATCCTTATTTACCCCACCAACATGTCCACA